TGATTCAATAACATCGATGGTAATGGTGGCTTTTTGTGACAGTCAGTTATTTTCAGAAGCGCTCGTAAAATATAAAACAAAGTACATAGATTTTATAACTCAGTTGGTTTCAAAGGGCATTACGGGGTACACGTATACGGATAGAGCAGAATTAATTATTTTGTTACTGAATCCAGTGTTAGAAACACTTGAATATAATACGTTTTTTGTGAAGTGTGAGACTACACCTAAGACTATTTGTAAGTCTATGTTCAAAGAGTTTCCATCTATCACAGAAAGAAGTAGTTGTTCTAATGAAAAATGTAAGAAGTTTCAAGATACATATTATCCGATCTATATTATAACATACAACACTACAAACGGAATTATCGGTGATTTGCAAAAATGGATTTGTGACCAATTTCAAAATCAACAAATAGTGTGCAATTATACAGATAACTTGGAAAAATCCCAATGCAACAGTCTTAGACGAACAAGTTTTGAAGTATCCCCATTATATTTACTGATAGAAGTTTTGTTTTGGAAAGGTATGTAATTTTTAAATTATTATTAGTTGCAAATAAATTAACTTAATTTATTTAAATATTTTTAGGAGAAAACTTAGAACAGAGTACGGACGCTGCACCACATGTAGAAGTTAAATTGGGAGACATTCCTGCAATCGTATTCTATGAATCTACAGCGTATGAATTAAGAGGAGTTTTAAACTTCCATAAAGGCAAAACTCAGCTAAGAAATTCAATTGGACACTATACTGCCTATTGTAAAAGACAAGGAGGTAATTGGGAACTATATGATGATTTAAACAAAAAACCAAAATATGTAAGTATAAATACTGTGGTCGCGTGTGAAATGTTGTTGTACACTATCTAAAACAAAATTGTATACTTGTAATAAGACTATTTTTAAATAATTATTCATACAAATTCCTGTATAAGTTATAAACAAGATAAAGTAAAAAAAATTATTTAGCATTAAAAAGTATTCAAAAATTGTTTTAATTATTTCTCTATTAAAGTAAGTTTCTTATTTTGACTCTATTTGCAATTTCTTCCCTTGGATTCAGAAACGAGAGGGATAACCTCTATTTAAGGTACACATGTAAGTAATTAAACCAAATTATTAATTCAAAAATAACAGATTTATCTTGAATATAGGAAAAGACAAATCTTCTTCTCATATGATAGAAACATATAATGTAATTCTCTATTAAGAGTAAAATATACTTTTTATTTGCCAACAGTATTTAGATTT